AGAGAGATGAGGGAGAGTGAGAGAGAGGGAGAGAGAGAGAGAGAGGGAGAGAGAAAGAGAGGGGGCAGACTACAGCTGGTCACGTACACGGAGGGCTAATTCAACTACTGATAATCAGTTTATAGTAATGATTGACACAATTACACTAACTCGTGTAGTAAATAATAGTGTACCAAGAATGAGAGAGAGAGAGAGAGGGAGGGGGAGGAATTCAAACAAAAGATTTAAGCTAATCCAGACAGAGACCAGTGGGTATAATCTGTTGTGTAATTAAACTAATTGTGGAGTAAAAGATGTGACGTAACCATGGCGATGCTGTCACGGTTACGAGGCCACACCCCACACATTTGCTATTCCTCCTACTTTTACAGTGAAGTCACTAAAAAGGACAGCACTGCCTTATTCCAGAGGTTAATTAACTATTAATAATATAACTAGCTATAAAACAATTACTACATGAAATACTAATAATAAATAATTAATAATAATAAATAATTAATAATAATACCAGTGGGTACCTTGTTTGTGAATAAGTTGGTTTGGAAGTTGGTTCCAGTGAAGTCTCAGCGACTGGTTGATAGGCCCCGCCCCCTCCATACCCACCCCCTGATGAGCCAAACCCTCCTCCGTATTTACCAGCTGACCCGATCCCACCGCCAAACCTCTTGGCATCTCTTTTAGCTTGTTGGAGCTCCTTAGCCCGCCTCTTCATCTCTTCCTTAGCTTCTCGCTCTTGAGTCTAATAATAATAATAATAATAATAATAATAATAATAATAATAATAATACCATTATAACAGTTACTGTACATTATGTTGTATAGAAAGCTTGATTTTTAAAGTTGCTCCAAAATTGGGCCAAAGTCCCTGTACTGTAGTACAGGACTTTGGCCAAATTTCGCCAAAAATGAAAAGGAGAGAATTCTCCATTTTTCTAATTTTCCTGATACATTACATGTTCTTATGCCATACTTCAAGTTTGAACTGATTCCGATTAAAATTAAATTTATTACGAATTTTTAAAGTTGCTCCAAAATCGGACAAAAGTCCCTGTACTATAGTACAGGGTCATTTGCCAAATTTTGCCAAAAATGAAAAGTAGAGAATTTTCTACTTTTATAATTTTTTTCTGATACATATACATGTTCTTATGTTGTGTAGAAAGTTTGAAAAGATTTCAATCAAATTTGGATTTTTTTACGGATTTTTAAAGTTACTACAAAATCGGACTAAAGTCCCTGTACTATAGTACAGGGACTTTCGCCAAATTTCACAAAAAATGAAAAGGAGAAAATTCCTCAATTTTATTACATTTCCTGATACATATACATGTTCTTATGTTGTGTTTCAAGTTTGAACAGATTCTGATCAAATTTGGATTTTTTACGGATTTTTAAAGTTGCTTCAAAATCAGGTCAAAGTCCCTGTACTATAGTACAGGGACTTTGGCCAAATTTTGCCAAAAATGAAAAGTAGAGAATTTTCTACTTTTATAATTTTTTCTAGTATACATGTATATATATATATATGCTCTTATGTTGTGTAGAAAGTTTGAACTGATTCTAATCAAATTTGGATTTTTTACGAATTCTTAAATTTGCGGCTAAAGTCCCTGTACTATAGTACATGGTTTTGGGTCAAATTTCGTCAAAAATGAAATAAAAAATTCTCAATTTTTATGAATAATTATACATGTATTTGTGCTAAGTTTGAGCTGATTCCGACTGAAATATCTTTTAAAATATTTGAGTAACGTACATTAGTAGTACATTACCAGCTGGCCAGACCACACCCCCTGGCAGCTGGCCAGGCAGTAGAGTGGAGGAGTGAGGCCATACTTCAAATTATCAGTGTTCGGAATACACAGCTGCCGCAAAGACAAACTATTAATAATTTCACACACTAAAGTCCAACAGACCACAGGTGGATTATTAATGTCAGAAATTCTTTTCACAACACGCCCATCATAATGTAGACAATATAACGAGGAGGAGCGGTCACTTTAAACCACACCCACAAAATATGCAGAGCTGTTTCTAATAAACCACACCCTCCAACCACACCTACCTTCCTCATTGCTTCAAAGACTCGCTCCTCGTGACTGTCCATTTCTGTAAATGTCCTTATTTGGGCAAGATTAACGGACTCGCGGTAACCAAGGGCAACGATCTCGTCAAAAGCGAAAATAAGATCAAAAGAATTCTCAGTGACATCTCTTTCATCAAGAGACTGACAGTATTCAGGAATCTATTGAAATATAACTAATTAAAAATAATGTATAATAGATATACATGTACATGTGTGATAAAAATCCACTTTCAATTGAGTACATGTACATGTATTGTAATCACATTATTGATGAGTTTGGGAAGGGGAGGAGCTTAGGCTTGACTAGTATATTAAAATACAAATGTCAGAGAGACAGGTCTCTCTTAAAACCTACCACTCTAGAGAAGAGGCGGAGTGTCTCCAGGTCCTCGAGTATGTTGCTAGTGGTAGTCGTTATCAAGAGCATATAGAGCTGCTCCAGGGGCTGGTAGACATAGCGGACACTCTCCGTCTCCACAAAGGTGTGTTGGTGACCAGAGTTCATTAGCTTAGGAAAGGAAGCCAAGAGACCTTCAATACGTGAACGAGTCATCTCCACAAACTGTCTTGATATAAGAGCTAGAGAATAATAATAATAATAATAATAATAATAGTTATTCTAATTAAAGCACACCCCACAAATACCCCATTCCCCTTACCTTTCCCTTGCTTGGTGCATATTGCAGCTGCTAGGAGGACCTAGACCAAAGGAATAAAAACAAAACACAATAAATAAGCCAGCCAGTGTCATAAAATGGCGGCAAAACACTACACAAAACTATTGAATAAAAACACAAATACTAGTATGATGATTAATGGTATTTTTAATTTTTGACAAACTAAACAAAGCAAGCAAAAACTGACCATAGTTGGGCGCTGGTGAAAGCTCTTTTAGTACCTAAATTGAGAACCTTTTGTTACCTAAAGATCAGTTAATTAAAATATTTAATAAGTAGCCACGTGTCATTAACTAATTAATATTCATTGATAGCTAGTTAATTAAGTAATTAAAGAACAATGATAATAAAATCACAATAAATTTAAATTTGCTAGTTGATGGTATATAAACACAGTAATGATACATTTATTTTAAAGAAGTCTTTCTTGTAGTCCAAGGGAGCATTAAAGAGAGGATGGCACTGCCCAGTAGTATAGCAGCTGTGAGTAGAACAGGCACTGACACTTGACTGGTTGAAGTGAATAGACCAAAAGTATAAGTACCAATAATAGCACCTATCCTGGCTAATAATAGGAACACACCCACTGCTGTTGATCTAAAAATAGAATAGGAATCTAAAAATAGAACTACCGGTACATGTAATGGTCCAAAAACAGAAAATACTAAACTTTCCAATACCTCAGAGCAGTGGGGAAGAGGTCAGCTACTAGTACAGTGGTGCTGCTCCAGGCCGGTATGGTGATTGCCTTGAATACACACAGTAACACAACAGCACCCGTTTCAGTTCGAATGAAATACAACATAAATACACTAATGGTTGATATGAAGAGAGAGAATGCTGTTTAAAGAAGGGGAAAGATGGAGGGAGGGAGAGAGAGAGAGCAAAATAATTTTTAAAATTACAAATCACATACCCAGCCAGTAAGACCGGATAAAGAAAAACACAGCAATAGCTGACACTAAATTCCCCACATATCCAGAAGCTGTTATAATAAGATCGTGTGAATATTCTGCATCATAGTCCTTAGGCGCCATCACTTCACCTTCACCAGCTGGACAGAAAGGACCAGGCAATAGGAGGAGATCTTGACAAAGAGATTCATTAAACAGTTCCTCAGCAGTACTGTCATTATCAGAGGATACGTTAATAAACTTGGTCTCACACACATAAGTGTTGTTAATAAAGACATTATTGAGTCTAACACTGATCCACGTTGAATTCTTCATCAGTAAATTATTGATAAACACATTAGTGATATGCACTGTATCCCAACGTACAGTGTCAAGCCACACCCACTTATAATGGCCGCCACTTATTGTCATGTTAGTTGCTGATGACTGCCACGCCCGCCATGTATCCCCAGAGCTGATTCCAATGGTTACATTAGAATAGGACGTTAGAGGACAGCTGCAAAGGAAGGAGGAACCTTTGTTTGAATTATCGTCCAAAGTAAAGGAAGATAGAGTACTGTTACACCATTCACTGGTGGGTGTGGTTAGTCCATTATTAGTGAGTTGATCAACATAGGAGGGGAACCAGAGGGTGACACCATACGACCTGCAGTGAGTCCAGTCATATGAGAATCACATGACTAGTGGATTAGGATCACTTACCCAAATGATAGTCCAAAATTAATGAACATTAACAATATGGTGGATCTGACCAGGTTTTTGTGAAAGAGTTTCAACGTTCGCTTTAAAATCTAAAAAAATGTTAAAATTAATTGTTGCACGGCTCTCTTTTACCTCAAGAAAGTTTTTGTGACAATTACAAAGTAAATATTTAATGGAAGGACTGGAATCAGATTGAACTGAGAGATGCAACTTGATACCTTTAACCTTTAGAGGAGGAGGAGCAGGAGGGAGGGAGGGAGGGAGGGAGAGAGGGGTGGGGGAGGAGGAGGTGAGAGGCTAATGCTATGACTGTAGATTGAAGGTAAATGCTTACTGGAAAGGTGTCGATCTTATTAAAATATTTAAGTGGATTATTCAGATAATACATGTTCCTCAAAATCCTTATCGCTCTCTTCTCCTTTCTAACCTACAAATAATAATAATAATAATAATATTAAAATAAACAAAAAATAATGTAAATGTAATTAATAATAATAAATGATAATTCATGTACTTCAATCAAATATCTTGGTCCTTCTGGCATCAAAATGCACAAGACTCCACCCACAAAAGCCGGAACAGCACAGAGAAACAAGAACACTCTCCAGCTGTGGACTGACGTTCCATTGACCGTTAGACCAATGTCCTCCTGTGGTAAGAGGGCCCAGGCTACACCGGTCACAGCCACAGCGCCTGTAATCCAAGAGGTGGACATGAAGTTGAGATAAGACCCTCGGTACTTAGAACCAGCAAACTCTGAGAGATAAGGACCAAAGACAGGGAGGGAACCACCAACCCTGTAAGAATGGATTCCAATAAAGACATTAATTATAAATTAATTCTGACCCAACTCCACTTAGAAATCGTGTTGCTAGTAAGAAGTAATAGTTAGGGGACATGGCAGAGACAAAAGCAAAGAATGAATTGAAGAAGAGCGACATGATAAGAACAGTCCTCCTACCACCAATGTCCGAGAGACCTCCCCAAATATAACCACCTGGGTATGTTATAATAACACTAAGGAATATATTTATTATTATTATTATTATTATTATTATTATATTGAAATATATTTATTATTATATTTATTACCGATGAGCATTCCAACGAATGTATTAGAGCTCAGTAGTGCCACCTGCCATGATGCGATACCAAACTCAGTCTCCAGTCGAAGGTACTGGAGTATATATCCAATACCAAGGACCTCTACTGAATCTGACGCTAGTACAAGACCGACGCCTAGCATGATCAGTATCTGAGCCTTTCCAAAACCAACCAGGCGAAGTACTTCCTCGTAGTCTGTATAAATACCCTCTCTCTCCTTCTGTGCTTCGTCTGCTTCTTCTCCTGTTGTGTCTACAGTTGTGGCCATCTTTATTAGGAAGGTTTTATCTGGTTCTGTTCCAACCTCTGGGCCGTCAGAGTCTTCATCCTCTTCCTCAGGGAAAGGATTGAGAGGAGTAAAGGACTCCATCTTGATCTCTTTCATCTCCACGGCCTCCTTCTCGCTATCTAATGGACTCCATTGTCCATTGTTTTCTTTACTGAACGCCATCTTTAATTTATTAACATTAGCCACACCCATATTGAAATTTAACTCTTTATTGACCCAACACCCACTCAATTACATAATGCCATTTTCAGTATCATTAGAGGTACTTTCACTAAAATCAGTTTTATTTTCAAACAAAGAAAGATGAAGACATTTAATAATCAATAAATCATTCGTCCCCTTTAGGTGCTCTCGTGTATATAACTTGATTATGATGCTTGCACACTTCCTTTATCAATCCTTGGGCCAGGAGCTCAGCCAATCCTCTACGAGCCAGGGACACTCGGACCTTTAGCCTCTCCGATACAACGGAAGGTGTTATCAACTTGTAGTTAGGGACCTCTTTCTTTAGCTTGTCATACGTCGGCTTATCGTAGAGAGCCAAGTTATTCAATTTATCACGAACTTTACCTTTCGACCACTTCTACAATTTTAAGAGAGGGCAATATTTAAAAACTAATTTTTTAGTCAAACCTTCTTTTTAGCTTTGCCACCAGAGCCAGGCTTAGCTGCTGCTGGCTTTTTAGCTGTTTGCTTGCCACCTTTCTGCTGCCCTCCTTTCTGCTGCTGTTTGGGAGGCTATAAAAAGGAAAATATAATTTTTAAAGACAATGAAGATTGAGAGAACCCACCATTTTGAGACCAAAGAAAGAGAGCACGTGGAGAATTTAGTTCAGGCATGCGCAATAAAGAAGTGGGCGTGCTTGTCTTATCTCAGCCACACCTCTTTTGCATGCTGATCTGACTAGGATTATGCTAAATTTTTTACCCAATTCTATTCAGAAATTCTCAAAAATTTGCCTATTATTCTTTTTATTCTGCCCTATTATTCTCACTTTATTCTTATAATCATGAGCTAACTACAATAAAAATGAAAATTAGTAAGTCTGAGAAGCTATTTAAAGTATCACTATCAGCAGAGACTGCAAAATATAAGTCTCTATATCAATTTCAGAACCTAAACTTTCTTCAAAAATAGAGTTACAACTAGCACAGGCATTAAAAATTTGAAAAAATGGTGCATTTGCTGCTCTTTAATTAGAGTTTGGCTAATGGCTACTGATCCACCTAATAGGCCAGCATTATTCTGGAATTGAAGTGCTACCTATTATTCCAAAAATTATTCCGGAATAATCGGGACACCCCTAATGCTGACGTGCAGTCACGTGCTTCCAAAATTTGGCGTTTAAATCCTCGGTTTTAATTAAGTAATTTCTGATTTTCTGCTTAAATATAATATATTCGTTGAGGCTCTAAATCATGTCAAACAGTGAAGCATTTCTTAAAGCAGCCGAGGACATCAAGACACTGACCACCAGCCCGACTAATGAAGAGTTCTTGGACTTATACAAGTTCTACAAGCAAGCCACAGTTGGAGACTGCAACACAGACCGCCCAGGAATGTTTGACCTCAAGGGAAAGTATAAGTGGGACGCTTGGAACAGTCTCAAGGGGACGGGGAAGGAAGAGGCTGAGAAGAAATATGTTGATCTAGTCACTGAGCTCCTAACAAAATATGCCAATTAACAGGACTGGACTATCATAAAATTAGACTTTGATAAATATTATTATTATTATTATTTTGTTGTTTGCTTTAAATTTGCTTTAAAATAGAATAGAAAAAATACAAAAATTGACCTGTTCACATTAAAACAAGCCCCTCCGACCCAGAGCTGTCTTCACTCGTTCAGAAGTGGTTCGGACTCTCTTACAGTATCCGGGGACACGCCTCTGTCGTCACGGTAACAAAGAGAGAGGAAGTAAGGTCGTTTGAATAATGGCTCCACCTCCTCCAGTGTCTTTCCTTTGGTCTCTGGAACAAACAACACCACAAAGAGGAGACCAAGCAAACCCAGTCCAGCGTACAGTCCAAACGTCTTTGGCTGCCCCAGACCATCAGCTAAACTAAGGAATGTTAGAGATACAATTAAATTGAATATCCAGTTAACGGCTGTTGCTATGGCGATACATGTCGACCGGGCCCAGTTTGGGTATATTTCTGAGTTGATGGTCCAAGGCAATGGCCCCATGCCAGGAGCAAAGAACATTATGTATATGAAGAGAGAGAGGATGGACAGCCAGGCATACTTTGAACCAGGGCAGCTGTTGTAGAACCAGTCAGTGTTAGTGAAGTTATCAGCTATAAGGTACTCATCATACTCGTCCATGTTATAGACAGAGCAGCTGTCAGTGGTCCCATTGATGATATAATCACTTCCACTCTTATCCCCAGAGGAACAAGTACCATCAATGAATTGACTCATATTATCGTATACAGCACAGAAACCGCAATGAGAGTTACCGACACACTCTCCACAGTTAGTGTAAGTACAGTCAGCAGTGGATAGGGGTGTGGCTTCAAGACTGGTTAGGTTAGAGGTTAGAAATGAACCGGTGAGGAGTAGGAACCCAAAGATGATACCGACCAAACTAGCGATGAGGAGCTTACGTCTACCCATTCTGTCAACTAGAAGGAGACCGATGATGGTAAATATGAAGTTACCAAACGCTGGTATGACGGCAAGCCATATTGATTGGTTGTCATTGAACCCAGCCATTTGAATGATAGAGGCACTGTAGTACCTTTAGGGAGATAAAGAATTTAATCTAATTAATAATTATCATGATAATTAATAATTAATGTGATAATTAATAATAATAAACTTACATTACAGTATTGATTCCCCCTAATTGCTGAAACATTTGAAGACCACACCCAACAAACAGTGCTAGTAACACAGTCCTTGAGGTAGTGAACTTCCGTAACAACTTCAAACAACCTTTTAATAATAATAATAATAATTAATAAATAAATAATAATAAATAAATAATAATAATAATAATAATAATAATAATAAATACCACACCCATTATACCTAATTTCTGTCTCTTGTGGTTTTCAAAGTCATCATTAATTGATTTCAGTTCTTCGTGTACTTGAGAAGGATCCCTCAGTTTGCTCAATACTGCGAGAGCTTTATCAGTTTTACCGTGAAACACTAACCAACGAGGACTCTCGGGCAAGAACAGAAACCCAAAGAACATTATCACTGAGGGAACACCAGCTAAACCCAACATGTACCTGTACAAGAATACACAGGAATTTACTGAGATTTACTAATTCAATAACCCTTATATTTATTAATAGCCACACCCTCAGCAATACCTCCATCCCTGATCCACACTAGAGAAAGCTCCGTCCACAAGTGTAGCCACAAACTGTCCTCCGGTTATAAACAAGTTATTAACTACCACTAGCTTCCCTCTCATGTTAGCAGGTGCTGACTCAGCGATATACATCGGAACAGCCATAGCAGCTAAACCAATTCCTAAACCGACAATGACACGCCCACCTATTAATAATAATAAATGAATAAATAAATAATGACTTACTTACCTAATAATACGTATTTATCAGGTGATCCCCCCATCACTCCAGCCCCAGCAGTGAATATTAGTGATGCTATTATAAGAACTGGTTTCCGTCCCAGAGTCTCACAGAGAATACCTCCTGAGGCTGCGGCCACAGCTGCTGCTCCAATGGTTGATGCTACTATCAGTTCGTGCCATATTGGGGTCAGGGAGAAAGTATCGTCAATCTTTAACATGGCACCTGAGACTACACCAGTGTCATACCCAAATAGGAATCCACCTTTATAAGAGAGAGAAGATATATACTTTTAATTGAAGACCAAACAATGTCTAAATTTCTTTGTACTAGTTAACAATGACTATACTATTGCATTCACTGTATTTATTAATATATTATTATGCTTACCAGTAGCAGAGAATACAGTGAGCATGGTAATAAAGAGACGAACTCTCCATTTCCAGTTACCAGTCTTAACCTTGAAGTCTATAGAGACCCTTCCTACAGTATCCAGACTGGTATTAGAGGACCCTATCACTACTTTATCTGTAGGGAGAGAAGGATACTTTATAATGGAAGGAAATCTAACTTAATCTACACGTACCACCTTCTTCTGATGACAAGTCAGCCATTTTCTGGCCACACCCAGAACATTAACTGTTACCACACCTGTTTTAATAACTTAACTTATTAACTAGCCACACCTAGCTCATTATAACTTTTTTGCAAAGAATGTCAGTAGATTTAATGTCCGAGTATCTGGTCAGTCTCTATATTAATAATTGTACAATAATTTTTTTTATTAGAAGGAGTCTCTTTGTGAGGACATATCCTTTGTCCCTTTCTCTCTCCCTCCCAGTAGTAGTGATGTTATTGGGTGGAGCCAGTGGGTGGAGTCACTGGAAGCTATTGATTATGATCTAAGACACTTATTGCAGCTGTCACACGACAAGTTTTGGTCTCAAGTTAGTCATCGTCAAACAGATAGCTCTTTCTATGTCTCTCATTTTAGGTTCTTTACGATAAAACACTTCCAGTATTACTAGACAGTTACTTGCAGCATGCACTCCGGTACGTTGATTTAAAACCTAGTTAACAAAGGGTTAAATTATATTAGGCCTCATGAGGAGGCGTGGTCAGTTCCGGAGAAGATTCTTGAATTATTGAGGAACATTCATCGAAGGGTCTTCATGACATTCCTACGTCTTTCAACACACAAAGAAGACCAGGTATTACATATCGTTTAAATATTTTAAATTTTTTAATCATTATTTTAGGATCATCACTTTTCTCCCGAAGTCTTTGGGAATTTAATCCACACCCACTCATTATTTAGTGTGCCACGCCTACTAGACCTCTGCAGTATCTATGGCAACACTAACGGACAGTTACTGGGGAAGATGATTGATAATGTGATCAGTAAAGAGGAGCAGTATCGGACTGACCTGTATAGTGTGATGAATACCAGCGTGAAGGAGGTAGGGCTGGTCATGTGATTATCATGTGACATTACAGTATCGTCTGTACAGGCTTTAGGAGTACTAGTGGATAGAAGTAGTTCAGCTGAAAGGTTAGTAGTCATAATATTTAACGTAATGTCCTTCTCTTCTAGTTTTAGTGAAGCTGTTGATCTTCTTTCATATTTCACGGACATTACTCACTCTCTCTCCTCTCTCATTAGCGTATGGAGACCAGCTGCTTCCTTAATGTGTAGAGCTGGACTCATTGAGAGGTGAGTACATGTACATTAATTGATTAATTAATTAATTAATAGTTTGATTAATTGTTATGAGCTCTCACTTCCGATCTTGAAGCTGAAATTGAAAGAGAATAAAACCGAAAAGTACTTAATATTTTATCAACTAATTTCTTGATCATTATCATAATTTATTATTATTATTATTATTATTATTATTATTATTATTATTATTATTATTATTATTATTCAGATTCCCTCGTGTTTGTTATCAGCTGGTAAAGGAGAACACCTCTAAAATAGTTCACTCGCTATTGATGAGCTGTTGCCATGGAGACGAGAGGAAGGGCGGGGCTGAGGACCAGGTCCTGGCTAGTATCAGTGCCATAGCAACTGGAAAAATGTAAGAGAGAGAGAGAGAGAGAGTATATGATAATTATATAATTCATTTTGAAGGTTTTATAACGAGTTTGAGAAGCACTTTAGCTTAAGAGATGTGTTTCAATCACTGAAAGAAATCTACCCTAATCTGTGAGTGATACTCTCATTCTCATTCCAGTGGAATAGGAATGGAATGAAACTGTATTGTTATTATTATTTTATTACTATCAGTGATGACAGTCAGTTACAGTACATGTTAGCTGAGACAGTGTCTGATGTAGCCCCAGCTCCTCCTGCTGTGTCTCCAGCTGCTAGTAGCCAGAGGGCCAAGGGGAAGGCCCCTTCAATTAAAGAAAGTGTAGCATACATCAAAGAAATGCTACCACATCTGGAGGAAGAATTCATTAAAGTTAGTATGTCAATATGTATCAGAAAATGTAATAAAAATTGGGTGTGATTTTGGAGCCATTTTTTGGAAAAAACCATGGGCTATAGTACAGGGAAATTTTTAGAAATTGGCTCATTTTTTAAATGGTCATAACTCGAAAATTTGAACTCGGAATCAGCTCAAACTTTCTACACAGCATAAGGACATCAATATGTATCAGAAAATGTAATAAAAATTTGGGGTGATTTTAGAGCCATTTTTTGGAAAAAACCATGGGCTAGCTATAATAGTACAGGGAAATTTTCAGAAATTGGCTCATTTTTTAAATGGCCATAACTTGAAAATCTATTTGTTTTAGGATTGCCTGAAAGAGTATCATTACAATCAAGAGGTTGTAATACATCACATACTGGAGGGTACACTCCCTCCTCACCTACTACCCCAAGAGGAGGAAGCCACACCTGCTGAAGCCACGCCCCTTCCTCTGGAGGAGGGGCAGAGTATTCTAGAGGGGAGACTAGGTGCTTATGATTATGATGAGTTTGATATTTTCAGAAGAGAAGACGTTGATTTGTCTAAAATACATGTTGGAAAGAAGTGAGTGTAACTAACTGATATTACATTATGTTCGTTCTCAGATTTGAGTCAGCAAGAGAAGTTCTATCTGATAAGTCTCACCTCCGCTACATGAAGGGGGTGGGGCTTGATTTAATTAATTACGACGAGTATGATGATGAATATGATGACACATATGACAGTCACAATATCGGCTCATTAGATCAAGAGGAAAATGATGACATATTTACCATCAAGAGGTACAGTAATTGTGATACGGGTAGCGTATTGTATTCTGTCATTTTAGATTAAATGAAAAAGGTCAGTTTTCCTCAAGAGGTCACAAGTGGTTGAGTGAGGAAGAGGGCGTGGCTGAAAGTGATGATCACCCCGCCCATCAACCAGCCCTACCCACCCAACCCCTGAAACTGTTACAGCGACCTGTCACACCGGATAAAATAAGAAAAGAGAAGACGTCACCGTCTCTTAAAAATAGACAGCAGCAAAAAGGTGGAGCCAAGAGACACACCAACCAATCAAAAAGAGAAGAGGGCGGGGCCAGGAGCAAGAGGGCGGAGCTACAGCATGAAGATAAGAAACCTTCAAAGGCTGAGCGTAAAGAAGAGAGACTAGCTGATAAAGAACCCTCGAGATCAGTAGAGAGACAGAGAACTTATAATGAGAGACACAAATCATCAAGAGCCAATCACAATAGGAAGGCTTTATCCGATAAGAAAAGGGGCGGGGCCTATTAAGAGGAATGTAACATTAATGTTAATTCAAAACTGCAGCTGTGACCTTTCAATAGCAATGAATGTTATTTATTCAGCAATAAATATCATTAACTAATCACACGAAATCATTACAACTATTGGTTGCTAACAGCAACGCTTGTAAAGTAATTGTTTTTAAAAGTTCCCTTCTAATCTCTGTATAATACTTATAATTATTAATTTTATTATTAGGAGTGTGTTCCTATTAATAGGTCAGTATTATAGTAGCTAATTATTATTTATTGAACATGTAGGCGTGCTCCTAGAACTGTTTACATTACTATAACATGTCAGTCTAGTCTCTACTGTAGTTTCAACCAGCAGGAAAGTGTTCACAGGTTTTAGTTATGGCTACTATTTTCTCTCCATGGCCGCTGTCTTGTTTTCTTTCTTCAATCCTCTTGTTACTGTCTGGGTCTAATGTAGCACACTGTGAAATGGTGGAAGCCGTTCTTGAATTGAATGACACAGCAAGCCTTGCTAATGTCACTGGGTTTGTATCAGCTAGTGCATCATGGACCCTTCGCCTGGAGACTGAGGGCATTAGCAGTGAGAGAGTAAGTGTTAGACATTTTTAACAAGGTGCTAATGAACACTGATTACCCCCCTCTCCCTCATCCTTCTCTCTTTTCCCTCCTCTCCCTCCCTCCCTCTCTCTCTCTCTCTCTCTCTCTCTCTCTCTCTCTCTCTCTCTCTTTTTCTCAGGCTATTCGTATCTCCACCAGTAGTTCATATGCTAATCTTTCATTTCCATTATTAATATCAGTGAGACAAGGAAGACACATCAGCTCATGGACACTCCCTTTCATCGAAGCTGGGTAAGAGAGAGGGAGAGGGAGGATGTTATTGTTTGCAATTTTTTTCTTCCAGTCATGCAACTCCAGTAGTATCAAAGACATTGTGTCCATTATTCAATAAGCCAATGGATGATAATTCAACTATTAATATCATATACATTGATGTATCTACTCCAGCTCTTAATAACGTTTCTTTTAACCTGTCGGCTAGTATCATCAATCAGTATCAATTAAGGTGAGTGGGCGTTCAGCAAGGTGGGGCTCATTAATTAATTAATTAATAGGATTAATAACCCAGTTAATGAGGTTGTCTCTGCTTCTTCTCCAGTGGTATGAATTATTATTTATTTATTTATTTATTCATTTATTTATTTAGTCGTATGTTTTTGAGTATCCTGAAGGTGTTGATAGGGTTTTAGTTAAAGTGACCTCAGATTCAATGACCTGTGCCCTAGTCTCGGTCCAGGAGGGTCTGGTTAGTAGCAGGTGGTTATAATGACTAGTTTCCCTCCATTCATTAGTGTCCTGTGGATCAGTTATTGGATTATCCTGATCACAGGGGAACCTTCCAGACAATGCAACTACTGGCAGGCATTAACATCAAAGTACACCAATAATTTATTTTTATTTATTTATTTATTTATTTATTTTTATTTATTTATTTTTAACAGCGTCCAGTCCATCAGAACTTTATCTACATTGTTGTTAGTGTGTATCACCATGACAACTGCTCACAGACTAATCATGATTTCTTTGATGGACTAGTCACCCTCAATACTGCAGGTATGACATCATTTTGGATCATGAGCCACACCTTTTTTAGCTAATTACAACCCGACCTTTATAAGCAGCAACAGGTTGCAGGAACTCTCCAAGACTGTTACCATAGAGATAAGCCACACCCTTTCATGTAAGTAATGCACCTATTTTTTGTCAGTCAAACATTTGATCAAAATCTTGTTCTAAACTCTGCTATGACCATGATGTAATATTGATGACATTTTTGACCAATGAAATTGTAGAGCTAAACACATATACATACAGTATCCTAATATGTATGTAATTAATTCTTTCGTGTTGTTTTTACAGATTCTGGTTATGCAGTGGCTTGTGTCCTGTTGGTGGTTGCTTTTGGATTGTTAGTGATTGGGATAGGTATCTTCTTTATCATTGATGAGTTCTGCTGGTAAGTGGGGGAGGGGTATTACCATGGTAACGGATCACTGTTGTCATAGTTACCGTCGCCATGTTACGTACAAGTTTCTGAAGAAGCTTAAGGAAGAAGAAGGAATAGAGGACATATTTGAGGCAGTAGATGGAGAAGAAGCAGAAGGAAAGAAAAGAAAATGGGACAAGTGTACTTCTTACCTTAAGATGGCCTGTGCTATCATTTGTGGGAGACAATACTTTAATAAACTTAATAAATTGAAAGAAAAAGAAGAAAAAATAAACCAAAGTAAAGAAAATAATAATGAAAAAGGTAATTATACACTGAATGAAGTCCATAGATTATTATGTGTACTGCAGGTGTCACTGGTGATGAAGAAGAAGAAACTGACTTCTCTCTGACTAAAAGAAGGCACTCTTACAATCGTGCTGTGTCTGATGAAGAACTGGGAATAACAGATCATCTACTTGATCAGAATCCTGATACTAACACTGCTACTAATGATACTGATACTGCTACTGCTACTTATGATCGTGCTGTGTCTGAAGAACTGGAAGATATAAAAGTAACAGATAGTCTACTTGATCAGAGTCATGATCCTAACACTGATCCAAATCAATATACTAACATTGATCCAAATCATGGTGCTAACACTGATCAGAATCATGATACTAACACTGCTACTAATGATACTGCAGTAACTAAATGTGATAGATTTTGCTCACTGTTGAAGAAAACTAATGATCCTTTTATAAATGAACTGACATTTGTTGATGGAAAGAAGTTTCAAGACAGCTACAATCCATACTGGATATACCTCTCAGTAATAGTGGTATTCTACTCACTACCAGTGTATCAACTGATGTTAACATATCAACGAGTAAGTGATTCATACTGATACTGATACTGATTTCTTACAGTATGTATCAGTGTCAGGAAGTGAAGACTTTTGTTACTACAATACTTTATGCAGTCATCCTTTATGGGGCCTTAGGTAATGACAGTGATTGTATTGATAATATTTATTTATTTATTTTATTTATTTGTAGTGCGTTCAACAATGTCTGGAGTAATGTCTCATTTTTATTTCTTGGAGTATTATTTATTTTCTTAGCCATACGAAGGTAAAGCATCACGTGACAGTCACATGACCTCATGAATATCATTAGGAGGTCAATATATCGGGTCTATGAATCCATTAATATTTATTACGAGAATAAAGGCAAACCTGAAAGGGTTAGCTAACGTACGCTAATATAACTAACTTAACTTTAAAATTAATAAACAGAAAGTTGGTGTTCCCCAGTATTTTGGTATATATTATGCTTCAGGTTAGTGTATAGTGTCATGTGATCATTGGTCATGTGACTGGTAGGTGTGGCACTGATTGGTGAAGCATTAATGAGTGGAGCCTATCATATCTGTCCAACTGGTAACAATTACCAGTTCGGTGGGTTCCTGTATATTCTGATATTAACCTCTCACTCCTTTACAGACACCACCATGATGTTTGTGTTATTAACACTTGGCATCTATCAGTTATTTAAATCACGTAATCCTGATATTATACCAAGTCCTCATAAATTATTATTATTATTATCATTACTGATATTATTCATTGCATTTGGAGTGGTAAGTGCATCACATGACTGTCACATGATCTTTTTTGTGTAGATCTATCCAACAATGGCTTTTTATATAGTGTTTTTCTTCATATATGAATTGGGTGTGGTTTGGGTCTCGTTACAGTTATACTGGAGGTGGAAGGCTTGGGATATTTTAAAAGAAATTAGGACTGATATCATATGTAAGTCAAATTTTTATTTTTAAGCCACAACAATATTTTTAATTTGCTATGAAAAAGATCTTTTGAATAACATATACAGGTGCTGTTGAGTCTAAGGATTACGCCAAATTACGTGAGAGGTTTACTCCTAGTGCTCCTGCTGACAGTGTAAGTGAAGATGATAAATCTCTTCCATTTTATTGTAGCTATTCCTTTAGATCAGGTTCTTTTATCTTTTGATGATAAATGTCATCAACTTTGGATGGTAAGTACATCAAGTATCTACCAGTGATTGAATTGTTAATGATAACAGGTCACTTGGTCTCCTTATTATAAGGCCTAGAGATTTTGCTACAAATTTTCTTTTCCTTCTGATAGTTAACTACTTGCTGTCTCTTTCATTTGTCCTTGTTATCAAAGTGAGCAAAACTTGATCCTAACATGTACACTGCACATACAACATCAATGGAGCGTGTAACATATGTAAGACATGAAATAGGAAGCATTTCTATTTCATGAAACATGCTGTGGCTCCTCTAAAAACAATAACTAAGCAATAGATGCTCCATGTAGTTTGGGGTTTATTAAACTGATTTATAAAGTATCTTTTTCTTTTTGCAGTTGCCTGCTCATCATTATAAAAACTGTGGCAGAAAGAAAGCTCTTTTAAAACCTTTCATTTATCTTTCAATGTCTGTCGCTTTCTGGCTGGCTGGTTTCGTCTTTTATACTCAAGAGGTTACTAACTGGCTGGTAAGTTGCTGCTAACCAGTTTAATGGCTGATACTGAACACAGACATATCTTCCTGTCCAGCACAACAACTAGTTAATGTTCATCTTGTAGGACTCACCAGCTGTTTCTCGTAACAACAATAAAGAGTGCTTCCTTTTTGGTTTCTATGACACCCATGACATGTGGCATATTTGTTCTGCTTTTGGAATCTTCTTCTCATTTCTGGTAAACACTTCATGCTGTCTCTTCAGTTTATTGATACAATGATTGTTTGTTTTTGTTTCCAGTTAATGATGACTCTTGAAGATCATGTTGAGTTCAAGAAGAGATCAGAAATACGAGTTTACTAAGCAATTTAAAGATTACATTATATGATTGACAACTGCATAACACTTATAAAATATATCTGCTGCATCATACTGTTTATAAAGTTAGATTTTGAGCTCAAATTTCATTTTTATAAAGTTCTGAAAAATACCCAAGGCTATAGCCTGATTAGCCCATGGTTTTTTCCAAAAAATGGCTCCAAAATGGCCCCAAATTTTTACTACATTTTCTGATACATATTGATGTCCTTATGCTAAAGTAAGGGTATAAACTGTTGGTCAGTGTATTGTTAGTAAAATCAGAAAATCTAATTTCCTTATGAACCACACCTGCTGCTATCTACTCACGTGGCAGCAGCCTATTATAGCCAGGCGGGGCTGACTAGCAGCAGCCAGCCAGCAGGCAAGCACCTATAAAAAAGATGTGTCAATTCTTCACCAGCAAAAAAAGAGAGACATAAACTTACAGTTGCTTTATGAGACTATTAAAGAACATGGCCGCTGCTCCTACTGCTGGATGGATACTCATATCACAGCTCCTGCTGCTGCTGCTGCTGCTGCTGCTATTGTCCTCTGTTCAAGGAGAAGACTACATTAAGACTGTTCCAGTGACTTTAGGTGGAAACAGTAACAGTACAGACATTATTACTGGAGTAGTGTCCTCCAATGTAACCTGGAGACTAGCTCTTGAACTAAAGCAAGGAATGATGAATAATGTAAATAATAATAATAATGATGTGCATTGTATGATACTGTACTATTAATGTTTATGCCAGTATTATGGAGACCAAACTTTAATGTAAGAAGTTGCTTCACTAGCTCACATGAAGGAGCAATAAGTATTATTAAATGAATAAATGGTTTCTCCTTTGTCCTCTATCTCGTGCTAAACAGTGTCATTGTATCCCAGTATAGCCAGACTAATCCCGGTACAGCCAGTATTGTTATACTTTATATTATTGTAGATATGGAAACTGTTAATAGATCACTAGTGTTGCTAATTGTTTTGAATTTTAAGTGTGAAATGTTTACCTTTATACAGCTGCAGTCCATTCTTTGCTGTTGTTATTACTGAATGTTTTCCATTAGTGATTTAAACTGATACTTTCACAACCGTCATTATTGTAAACATTGTCCTGTTTTCTGTTCTGGTTTCATGATTCCCTCTCTTCTCTCTCTCTCTCTCTCGCCTTTTCCTCTTAGTTACCTTCTCACCTTTATAACATAAATATTGCTAGTAGTTGCTGTACAATCATAATTGTGTTGTATAAAGACTCCTTACCTTATACAATGTATATAATGGTTGCTAAATAAACCATCACTCTTTGAAGTGTGTCATGATAAGGGTAACGGCCATTAGGTCATTGTATATGTACAGAATCAGGAGATATTTGAAATGAATTATACCACCTTGTTATGTATACATTTATTGTGATCTCTCCTTCCCTCCCTTCCTCTCCTCTCTCTCCCTCTCTCTCTCTTTTTCTCAGGCTATTCGTGTCTCTACCAGTAGTTCATATGCCAATCTTTCATTTCCATTATTAATATCAGTGAGACAAGGAAAACACATCAGCTCATGGACACTGCCTTTCATCGAAGCTGGGTAAGAGAGAGGGAGGGAGAGAGAGGAGAGGAAGGGAGGAAGAGAGGGAGAGGGAGGGAGAGAGAGGAGAGTAGAGTAATAATAAAATTATATTATTTTTGTTTTATACACTGTCAGCTCCAACAGTTGTTCCAGTATATAATGGTTACATTGTATTAATAGTGGCAGCTGCTCTTACAGTTTATTTTCCCTCCTTTTCTGCACAATTATCAACTTACTCCCACTCTATTTCTAAAATTTAAGAGAAACTCACTGTGTGGTTCTTGTGTTAATTCCTCTCAGTACAGTTAGTAAATATGATACCAATTACTCTATGGGCTACACCATTTTATGAATGAAGCATGATATGATACTTTGGAATTGTCAGCTTTGCAGTTTATCATAATTAGCATAGCACCTTCATGAGTCATGTTATTTTTGGATCCATTGCTGTCTGATCCCTTCATTTCTGTTATTCATTCCTGTGCCATAGTTAGCTTTACCCTAGTGGTTCCCCTTTATATATGATGGGGAAGATCCTGTTCTAGCAGGTCATGCTTAGTCATGCTTATAAGTTATAGAATCTTATCTTTCACTAGTGTTGTTATGACTACAGAGCAGCTGCTGCAGTGCTGCTCCAGCATGAGTGTGACAGTGTGTGAGATTTGAACTGATAACCACCTTCCATTTCAATTATATAACTCTCTCTCTCTCTCTCTCTCTTTCTTCCAGTCATGCATCTCCAGTAGTTTCAAAGACATTGTGTCCATTATTCAATAAGCCAATGGATGATAATTCAACTGTTAATATCATATACATTGATGTATCTACTCCAGCTCTTAATAACGTTTCTTTTAACATGTCAGCTAGTATTATCAATCAGTATCAATTAAAGTTAGTGGGTGTGGTTCATTAATTATAATTAATTAATATTCATAGGATCGGCTCTCCAATTAATAAAAATGTATATTCATCATCACCACTGGTACATTTAACTATTATTTATTCATTCATTTATTTATTCATTTATTTCTTTAGTCGTATGTTTTTGAGTATCCTGAAGGTGTTGATAGGGTTTTAGTTAAAGTGACCTCACATTCAATGACCTGTGCCCTAGTCTCGGTCCAGGAGGGTCTGGTTAGTAGCAGGTGGTTATAATGACTAGTTTCCCTCCATTCATTAGTGTCCTGTGGATCAGTTATTGGATTATCCTGATCACAGGGGAACCTTCCAGACAATGCAACTACTAGCGGCCATTAACATCAAAGTACATCAATAATTTATTTTTATTTATTTATTTTTAACAGCGTCCAGTCCATCAGAACTTTATCTACATTGTTGTTAGTGTGTATCACCATGACAACTGCTCACAGACTAATCATGATTTCTTTGATGGATTAGTCACCCTCAATGCTGCAGGTACTTAATAACTAGCTACTTAATAACTAGCCACACCTCTTTAATTAGCAAATTATAATCCTTCTCATGTTCATGACTTTAAGGAAATTAATGACTTCATTAAGAGCGTTACCATAGAGATTGACCACACCCTTCCAAGTAATCACTCATTATTATTATTATTGTTATTATTATTATTATTGTTGTTGTTGTTGTTTATTTTAGTTTACAGGTACTGGATAGCAGTAGGTGTGTCAGTAGCAGTGTTACTATTGTTTGGTGTTTTGGTGATCTCGTTCAGTTTTATTGAAGGAATTTTCTGGTTAGTATACACACATTGGTCTTTAGCCAAAATTAAAAAGTAGAGAATTTTTCATTTTTATAATTTTTCCAGATGCATATACATGTTCTTATGTTGTGTAGAAAGTTTGAGCTGATTCCAATCACATTTGGATTTTTTACAATTTTCTAAAGTTAAGATACCCAGTGTTATATTACTCCTGGTTGCTATAGTTACCGTCAGCACCCAGTGTGTTCTCTACTGGAGAATGGTGTGGCTAGCGGCGGAGAGAGGACAATGGAAGGAGGTCGTGGGTCAAAGGACAGTCCGGGCAGTACTACAGCTGGTCCTGTACAAGATGGTGTCAATAGTGACTCTGTTCAAAGACCTCATTTCTTGTCAGTTCTGAAAGGAGATCACTGGTATCATGAATACAGGAAAAGAAGTTAGTCCCCAACCATTATTGTTACTATTATTATTATTATTATTGTTATGTTAAATCTCTCCACAGCCACACCCAGCCCACGATCCCCAGACTTCATTAAAAAAGAATGTGAGTTTTTGTTACCATAGCAACCTTAAACCACACTCATTTCCTTATATAGTTATGCGTGCATTGCATGCTCCGCCCACTAATCAATACTGTCCCGATAGGAAGGCGTTAGTCTCAGTACCGAGGTAAGACCAGCAGTACTAATGATCACATGACCATCAGGTCGTATGTATATAGTGACTCGTCTATCGACAACTGCTCAATGAAGGACTGTAATGGTGGGTGTGGTCACAGGTCCCTTGATACCGGAGACGCTGGGTCTGTCATATCTTCATGTTCGTCATTGAGTGCTGCCCAGACCAGACTACTGGAGGACTTCTCAGACATGGAGGAAGAGGGAGAGGAGAGGGAGACAAGGTTCACTGGGGAAGAGAGACAGAGGGTCTTTAGGAAAGTCTCTGGACGCAAGAGAGACCTTTCAATAGTACTGGAGGATACTGAGAGACTGTCAGACTATGAGGAGGAGGAGAAGGAGGAGGCCATTGAAGAAGAGCTTGAAGGAGAGGGAGAAGAAGAGAGATATGAGGAGAACACTGTCCCTGATAATAATAATAATAATAATGGTACCAATTGTCGTTTGGACTTTAAACCACACTCACCTCATTCATCAGTCAAGCCACACCCCTCCGCTCTACTAGTACTGAACAGTCAGTACATTGACCAGCTACCGATAGCAGAGGGGGAGGAGTTTCAGAAGAAGTACAAAGGATACTGGATGTACCTCTCAGTAATAGTGATATTCTACTCATTACCAGTGTATCAACTGATGTTAACATATCAACGAGTAAGTGATTCATACTGATACTGATATTGATTTCTTATAGTTCCTCTCATTATCTGGCAATGAAGACTATTGCTATTACAATTCATTGTGCAGTCACCCTTTGGATCTACTAGGAATTAGGTGAGGATTAAAAATTATTTATTTATTTATTTATTTTATTTATTTGTAGCGCATTCAACAATGTCTGGAGTAATGTCTCGTTTTTATTTCTTGGAGTATTATTTCTGATCATAGCCAGGAGAAGGTAAAGCATCACATGATAGTCACATGACCTCATGAATATCATTAGGAGGTCAATGTACAGAGTGTATGAATCAATCAATGAAGATCATGAGAGGAATAATGATCCTGGAAAAGTATCTACAATTGTTATTTTATTTATTATTATTATTATTTATTATTTTAATTTAGAAAGTTGGTGTTCCCCAGTATTTTGGTATATATTATGCTTCAGGTTAGTGTATAGTGTCATGTGATCATTGGTCATGTGACTGGTAGGTGTGGCACTGATTGGTGAAGCATTAATGAGTGCAGCGTATCATATCTGTCCAACTGGTAACAATTACCAGTTTGGTGAGTTCCTGTATATTCTGATATTAACCTCTCGCTCCTTTACAGACACCACCTTGATGTTTGTGTTAGTAACACTTGGTATCTATCAGTTATTTAAATCACGTAATCCTGACATTATACCAAGTCCTCATAAATTATTATTATTATTATCATTACTGATATTATTCATTGCATTTGGAGTGGTAAGTGCATCACATGACTGTCACATGATGTATTCTCTCCCTTAGATATACAATGGTCTCATATTCTACGTTATATTCTTCATTTCATTTGTGACTGGAGTCCTCTATACGTCACTGCAGATATATTACAGGTGGAAGATACAGTGTAAGTATCTGCATGCAGCTGTTTCAAATGATATAGCTTTGTATATTTATTGTAAACTGATCAATACTTTAAATTAATAATGTTATTGATTGACTATACGCTAAATATTATCCGAGCCAAATTCCCAATCCTCATCAACACATGCACAGTAGTAGATGGTAGTAGTAGTAGAGTGTAGATGGTACAGTGCACACCACACATAGTGAACTTGTACTGTACAGTGCACATGTTATTGATAATGACATGTTATTGTAACTTCTGGTTTGGTTTGGCACTGGTACATTGCATAGAAGCCATAGTATGATCGTGTAGTAATCGTTTTATTATAAATAATGTACCTATTGTTTTATATGATAATGCTTTATTGTTGTTCTTGTTATTGTTATTGTTGTTGTTGTTTACAGTTGCTGACGGATTTGTTGTTTTAAAAGAGCTTTGGTATAACATGTCTCACCCCTATCCACCACAACACAAAGTAATTGAAATTATTATTATTTTATTTATTAATTTTATTATTTTATTTTATAGCCAAAGGCAGTGTACTTCAGTGTCTCAGTTATTATTAACATTCTATTGTAAGTTATCGATATCCAATGATTTCACCTTTCATCCTCTCCATTCCTCCCTCTCCCTCGGTCTAGTGGTTTTTATGGCCTGATATTACAACCAGCAGATTTTGCCACTTACTTCCTCTCAATTATGATTGGAAACTTCATAATGTCACTTATTTATTATGTGGTAACCAAGGTAACGACCTTTAGATCACATGACTGTCACATGACCACCCTCCTCCCTCAGGTGTACTATGGAGAGTTTGGAAATAGGAAGGCAGCACTAAAGTCACTCCTCTGTCTAATCGTAGCCATTTTGTTTTGGATTGGAGGAGCGCTGATGTACAGTGTAGCTGTCACTGATTGGCTGGTTAGTTCATCGACCACACCCATGTTATAACCACACCCACTTTCATAGAAATCCCCAGCTGGTTCTCGTGATGGTAATAAAGAGTGTCTCCTCTTGGGCTTTTATGATTCTCATGATATTTGGCACTTTTTATCGTCTTTTGCACTTTTCTTTTCATTTTTAGTAAGTCAAAATTTATAGTAAAAATAATAATAATAATAATAATGATAATGATGATGATGATGATGATGATGATGATGATGATGATGATGATGGAGTTGTAGCTGGTATGTAGTATGAGACAATTTTTTATTTACTATCAGTGTTACTAGTAATTGTATGTTTATATTATTATTTGCTAATCATATTAGTACATAATTTTGACTCTCTCTCTCTCTCCCAGTTACTAATGACACTGGATGACAATCAAGAGGTTGTTAATCGTTCTGAGATTCACATTTTCTAATCACTTAAAGAAACTAATGTATACTACAAGATGATCTATTCTATAATAACTCTTTTTATCAAATTAATTCTTTTTAAACAAGTTTTTATATAAAACAATTAAATTGTACGTGTATGTATAAATATTAATAATAATAATAATAATAGATTTGTATTGATTGTACTGAAAAACCAATAATAATAATAATAATAATAATAATAAATAATAATAATAATAATAATAATAAATAATAATAAATAATAATAAATAATAATAATAATAATAATAATGACAATATATGACACTGTAAAGATTGTATGTGTGTTTAACATTACAAGATACGTTACTGAACTGATGTTCATGCATACACAAGTTTCTTAACCTAGTAAAACTCGTTTGATTCTTTCAGCTGATACGAAATCCTCCTCATCCTCTGAGCTTGAACTATAATTAAAAACATCGTCACTTCCTTGGCACTGCTCAGAGCACAGGTACTGCATGAGAGGGACCCGGTACCGCCCACAGAAATCAACAAACGTTACTCGGCGACTGCGCAAAGTAAAGTAGACTCCAGAGCAGGAAGGATTGTCACACTTGCGAGCTCGACTGAGGAAGTCACAAAGTGTCTCTGGTATTATCTCTGGAGTGTAGGGTATAGCGTGATGCTTCACTGCTCGACCCGATAGCTCCAGAAGTGAAGGTATCGCTCCGGAATACTCTCGTATGAACCTCAGGACCAGGGGATTGTTACGGAGACTGAGCTCTTGAAGGTTCTTCAATCTAACGATGCTCTGTGGTAGGGTCTGGAGCTGGTTGTCATGAAGATGAAGGGACTTCAGTGACATGAGTCCTTTGAATTGTGAGGGTAGATACTGGAGCTGATTACCAGAGAGGACCAGCGCCTCCAGTTTATGTAACTGACCCAACTCTGGAGGGACGTGCTGGAGTCTGTTACCACCAAGATAAAGGTAAGAGAGCCTGAGAGAGAGGGGAAATTCAAAATGATGTAATGTAAATAAATGTGTTTATTACAAACAGCTGTATACAATGTATAAGGATGACTGTCAGGGGAAATAATTACTTTCATCAAAAGATAAACAACAACGTCATACAAGGTCCGTTCAAACTGTTTATTAATCAATATTTTAATTACTGACAAGATTGGACCTTGTATGGTTTCTGATTGTTATTTAAAGTCATCAACTACACATGTCATGCCAAATTAATTACATTAATTTAAATCATTTTTAATTTATTGTGTCTCCATTTTGGCTTACCTTTAACATACACTAAGCATGAGTTGAGGCTACAACTTTTAAGAGGCTAAAGTTTGGTGAATTTATTGATGCAGGTAGCGCTTTCAATTTCAATTTGATGTGAATTTGGTACATAAATTATCCATCGCTCGCATTCCATGGCAACCAGAAACCTTCTATAAGGCACTAATACTCATCAAAAAGTCTCCAAATTTACATGTTGCAGCTGTCAATTAATATGAGCCGCCAATTGCTATGAATCAAAAACCCACCAATACTTATTCCCTTATATGGTATGGGACTCACTCTGTGAGTTTGTTTATTCCAGCAGGTACCTCCTGGAGCCTATTGGCCCCAAGGTGAAGAAAGGTTAGCCGAGAGAGAGAGAGGAGAGGAGACGGAAACTGTTTGAATTCATTCCCACTCAAATTAAGCTCCTCCAACTGAAGCAAAGAGCCCATCTCTTGTGGTAAAGACTTGATCTTGTTACATTTAAGGAGAAGGACCCGGAGTGAGGCTATGCTACACACCTCAAGGGGTAACTCAGTGAACTCGTTTCGACTGAAATCAATTTTTCTCAAATTCAGTGACAATGAGAGTTGGGGGAGACTCGTAGAAGAGAGAGAGTTCCTAGACAAGTCCAGGTCTGTTACCTTCTCTTTCTCTACCCTCTCTCCCAGCCCCTCAGGCAGGGAGTGGAGTCCTTGTTTTGATAAATTAAGTTCTCGCCAGTTGTTCTTCGCCTCTGGTCTGATGCTGTAGTAACTGGCCTCTAGTGCCATATTGGAACTGCTAACAGACTGGAAGAGACAGGGAGAGAACACGTTATATAATAAAGCTATAGACTTCCGCTCATCTTTCTCAGTCTGTAGTGTATACTTTCAGCAATTTGCAGTTTGCAAAAAGAAAAGGGCGTGGCTTGTAAATAACACGAGCCACTCCTTTTTAATTATACGCGTGGGTGTTAGTTGTAGGTGGGGCTGGTCACGTGTACACATTCTCACTTGATCTGGTACTAGAATAACTGGAGATCTACTGATTTCTTTGGCCCTGAAATGGAGGAAGAGAAATTTAAGAATGAAGGAGAACCTGCTAAAGAAGGAACTAATGAAATAGACACAGATCTTGACAAATTATTGGATGGTAACTTATTCTAAATAAAGAGCAATTTATCCTTTTTCCTTTAGACTCATTAAACGAGTTTGGTAAGCATGTTTCAGCGGGTGCTGGTGCGTCAGGAGGAGAGGGAGGAGTCAAGCCAAAGTTAGGGCGTGACTTGTCAAGAGTAGACGAGACTGAAGACCCAACCCTCAAGGAACTGGAGAAAGTTTTTGGAGAAGAAATAGCAGCACAAGTAAGACATGGGGGGAGTCTAACTGTTGTATTATACACTGTATTGTATTGTAACTGGTAGTTTTAGTTTTGGTGTTTTCATAGCCATTTGTTGAAAAATATATCCATTATTATTATTATTATTATTATTATTATTATTATTATTAATAGGTTGAAGGTGAATTGAACGAAGCTATTGAGCTACTTTCCTCTGAAAACCCTGAACTATTCAAGCAATTTGAATCATTTGCTGAAAGTCTAAAACAAGAAGGCATGCCAGCCCCTCCCCCTCAACCGGCTCCGCCCCCTCGAACCAAAGGATCACTAGAAGTGATACTAGAGGAGACAGTGAGGAGGATACAAAGCGGCGGGGCCAGTTCCGAGGGGGACATCCCTCCTAAACTGGCTAGTATGATGAGTGACTTACAGCTGGGGGATTTCCCTGATGGGGATGGGACAGAGGATGGTATCATGGCCGCCATGCAAGGAATGATGAACACTCTTCTCTCAAAAGAAGTTCTTTACCCTTCGCTGCTGGACTTTTGTAATCAAGTGAGTGGGCAGTAGTGTACTAATGAGATTTGATGAGCTCAAATTGTGTCATAACTTGAAAATTTGAGCTCGGAATTGACTTAAACTTTCTACATAGCATAAGGACATCAATATGTATCAGAAAATGTAATAAAAATTTGGGGTGATTTCGGAGCCATTTTTTGAAAAAACCATGTGCTATAGTACATGGAAATTTTCAAAAATTGGTTCATTTTTAAAATGGCCATAACTTGGAAATTTGAGTTCAGAATCTGCTCAAACTTTCTACATAGCATAAAGACATCAATATGTATCAGAAAATGTAATAAAAATTTGGGGTGATTTCGGAGCCATTTTTGGAAAAAAACATGGGCTATAGTACAGGGAAATTTTCTGAAATTGGTTCGTTTTTTAAAATGGCCGTAACTTGAAAATTTGAGCTCGGAATCAGCTCAAACTTTCTAGACAGCATAAGTACATCAATATGTATCAGAAAATGTAATAAAAATTTGGGGTGATTTCGGAGCCATTTTTTGGAAAAAACCATGGGCTATAGTACGGAGAAATTTTTAGAAATTGGTTTGTTTTTTAAAATGGCCGTAACTCGAAAATTTGAGCTCGGAATTGGCTCAAACTTTCTAGACAGCATAAGTACATCAATATGTATCAGAAAATGTAATAAAAATTTGGGGTGATTTCGGAGCCATTTTTTTGAAAAAACCATGGGCTATTATAGTACAGGGAAATTTTTAAAAATTGGCCCATTTTTAACAATGGCCGTAACTTGAAAATTTGAGCTCGGAATTGACTCAAACTTTCTACACAGCATTAGGACATCAACATGTTTTTTATGTTTGAAAATCATATTTTTTGCAGTATCCTGATTGGCTCCGTACTCATGGGGAGAAGTTGTCCCCAGAGGATAAGGAAAGATACTCGAAGCAGTATGAGATAATGAAGACAATTTGTGGTGAATTTGAAAAGGAGACATCAGGAGAAGAGGAAGAATCACGAAAACAAGAAAATATTCTTCAACTAATGCAGCAGGTAGAGCAGTTTAGTCAGGAAACTTTTACTAATTTAATTTGTGAAAATCAAACCTTTACAAATTGTGATGTATGACTTTATTTCTTGTAGTTGCAAGATTGTGGACAGCCTCCTGATGATTTAGGAGGTGGTCCAATCCAGCCTCCATTACTGGGACCTGACGTGCTCCAATCACCTAGCAATGAACAATGCTCATTAATGTGAAGATTAGTATTGATTGTATCCTAATCATTGTGTGTGTTCATTATTTTAAATAAATTATGATAACATATCTATACAGTGTAGACCACTCCTGCCTGCTGACTTTGCTTTTAAGTGTCTCTTCCAACAGAGCTATCATGATGTTTTTCTCTTGGAAAAGATGCTTTTTATTTGCTTTTCTCTTCACCAGTGATGAGGTCCAATCATCCTCAGACCATCAGCCAAACTGTGAGAGAGATATTCAATTTGATGTCCTTATCCTTGGTGCTGGCACAGCAGGCATGACTGCAGCTAGACTCCTCAGTATTAATGGAATAGACAACTTCAAGATAATAGAAGGAAGCAGTGGAATAGGTGGGAGAATGAAGAAGGGGAAGTTTGGGGGACGTGTTATTGAATATGGAGCAAACTGGATACACAATGGACCCAAGGACCCTCACAGTGTAAGGAATACTGATAATCCTCTGTGGATCATAGCCAGGGATGAGGTAACTCAGCATCAGTTGTGTGGAAGGAAGCATAAGCTAAGGGTAGTCAAGACAGATAAGAGTATCTACATGGATAGAGATACAGTCCTCAGTTCTTATACTGTAGTTCCTACCCCAGTGGTATCACGACTATCAAGAGGTTACTCTAAAGCATTAGATGCTGCAATAGCTTCAGCTAAATTGACTCCAACCCTAACAGAACCAGTATCAGTTGAAGAAGGATTGAGAAACTTTAGATGGAGGCCTAATGAGCCTCCTCGTAAGCAATTAAAGCAATCTTTAGAATGGAGCAAGTTTGATTTTGGGCACACAATTCGTACTGGCCAGTCATCACTGGAGCTGATGGCATTAGAACCAGAAGCTGGTTATGATTACCTGGCAACTGATGGAGATGGGTATGTGTCTCTTCTGGACTGCATTGGACATGGTTTGAAGGATGACAATAAAATTTTATTAAATTCTACAGTTAAGAGAATTAAGTTTAATAATGATTGTGTTTGTGCTGAAGGAGCTGATTCTAATGATGCTGATCATGTTTGGTGTGGTAAGTATGGCATAATAACATTCTCAATTGGAGTCCTTCAAAACTGGTTAAGGAGCAAACGGCTTGTCATTACTTCGAAACCTAAAATGGATGCGATTAACCACTCAAGAATGGGAATATACTTGAAAATATTTGTCCTTTTCAAGGAGAACTTGACCTCATTACCAAAAGGTAATTATGACTATCTTTATCGAACTATCAATCATCATGGGGACTATCAAGTTATTCAACAGATTCAAAGAAATTTAATTTTACTGACAATAGTTGGAGAAGCTGCAGCTGAGGCTCTTCAAAAAGAGAAGGAAGAAATAAAGGAAGACAGAGAGAGCATTGACTGAGTGGTTTGGAGCTGGGAATGTTCCGGAAATTGAAGACATTGACTATAAAGATTGGTTGCATGACCCACTCTTCTTTGGAACATACACTACTTACCCACTGTCTCTTAGCGCCAGTGATAAACAAGAGCTTTTGAAACCAGAAGGACCTCTTTATCTTAGTGGAGAAGCCACGAGCTTCTTGCTTGCAGGGACCGTTCATGGAGCCTATTGCAGTGGCCTTGAGACAGCTGCTGGTATTATTAATAAAATCAATGGAAACTCAGCTAATGTAGTGTATTCACCACTGCCCTCTGGGTATTGTAAATTAAATTAATATTGTTTATGCAGCAATATGCGTGGGTGGCTTTGAGGTCAGGTGGGTGGAGCTCAGTAGCTGGCAAAAGAGAGAGAAAAAGTTGGCGAGTGTTTCTTTCTTGTAAACAATTGAAACAAGCAGAATGGGAAACGGAGTCTCCTCTCAGCATATCAGCAAAAAGATTTATTTAGAAGTTGCAGGAAAGAACTTATCTGTACGTTTCTTTCTTTTTTTTTCTTATGATGAATTATGATTATCTAATGCTGTAGGTTTCTTTCAGTGGAGGCTGCAGCAGTCAAGAATTGAAGGAATTGATTGCCACTGGAGCTGGTTTTAACAGGTGCGTGTGTGTGTGTGTAACAAGGACACCTATAATTATAATGAGGACATTTTGCAATGTCTCAATTGGTACAAAAATATTATGTATACTCTTGGAAATGCTAAAGAGACTATAATACTGTCTTTATTCTTGTATAGATGGTCTGATTTTACTCTTGAGGATCACACTGGGTCTCTAGTCCCAGTGTCTCTATCAATAGCTCCTAACACCCCCAGGTAAGGACTCATGCAGTAGCTAGGGGTCAGGCTGCATGGAGAGAACCCCTCAAGAAGCTCAAGTGTCAAGCTCCAGTTTGAAATTTTAACAAATTAGCTGCTGCTTGTTATGGACTAGGAATGTACTATACACAGCATGTGCACACACCTATTCTTATTTTTGTCTTTTTCTCCGTGTGCCACTCTAGGACACCATACAGAGTTCAAAGGATATCTTCTGCTACTAATGGTACTTTATGTTTGCACACATTAACCCTGCTTATCGCGTTGACATAAAACACTTTTTAACAAGTTCTGTAACCTTTTCATCCTGGCTCCTTTTAATGCATGCACTCCTCCTTTAGGTAGCACTTCAGACAGAGAAATAGTGAATGAAGTCCTGAGCAGAGTCAGTGAAGAGATATCAAGGTATGTTCATGGCGTGTGGGAGTCCTTCATGTTATTCATACCCCACTCCTGTATGCATGCCATGTTTTAGTGTTTATTACTGTCTGTAAAGAGGCTGCATAGTATCAATTTTCACTCTCCAAAGAGAGTTTATTACCAGCCTGGCAGGCCTACTATATAAACTAAAACTATATATTTCTTTGCAGGGCATTCAAGTCACAGGATTTCTTGCATGATTTTTCATCAAGACTGGAATCACTTGAGAAAAGAATGGAAGGTAATACACTGCATGGTCTGTGTGTGTGTGTGTGCAGTCTTTGATATTCATGAGTGCATACATGAATTTAAGGAATGCTTGTTCATTTGTGTTGGTGTAGCTCTCAAATATGCAGAAACTATTCCTTCAAGAGGTGACCTTGAAAATTATCATCAAGAAATGAGTGAATTTCAAACTCATCACGTGTAAGTCATTGAACCAATCCTTCATTCATTCATACAGTATGACATTGTTTATTTCTGTACTTCAAGTGCCATTATACATATCCCTTGAAGCAATTCCCTCTATTTACTACACTCTGATTCCCTTATCATCACTAATGCACTCTTACTACATTTCCTACACTCTGGAATGTTGTTCACTATGTATCTAAATAATGAAAGCTTTATTTCATGTGTTGCTTTAGTGGAGTCCCCTCTATTGTTTTAAAGTATGGAGGGAAAGATACTGACAGTTTAGCTCCAGTGACCTACCCTAAGGTAAAGGTCTACCATATTAAACTATATTATTATTATTATTTTTATGACAGATCAACCTTTCAGATCAAGCACTGGAGTCACTCAAAAGACCCTCCGCTAATATTTGGGACTGGGAACCTTCTGAGATGCTTTGCCTCATAGAGCACATGTTTCATGAGCTGGACCTGCTCAGAGCTATCAATACTGATGAACAAACGCTCCAGCAATGGCTGGTATGACCCAATTCATTTGTGCATACCATTAACCTGCCCATCCATCTCTTTCCTTTATTTTTCCTCTTCTAATTTCCTCTCTCTCTCTTCCCCTCTCTGCCCCCTCTCTGCCCTCTCTCTCCCCCCTCTCTCTCTCCCTCTCTCTCCCCCTCTCTCTCTCCCCTCTTTCTTCCTCTCTCTCTCCCCCTCTCTCCCCCTTCTCTCCCCCTCTTTCTCCCACAGTTAGCAGTTCAGCACAAATACAGGAACAATCCATTTCATAATTTCCGTCACTGCTTCTGTGTAACACAAATGGTATGAACCATACATGCAGCATGCAATAGCTACAACTGTTATTAGCTAAAGTCTATATTTGTCTCTTTTCAATACTAAATTAAAGTGATGCATGACTTAAAACTTCATTAATTACTATCAAAGAAAATGCTAATTTATTCCCCCAATATGTTTTCAGTACATGTACAATTAAAAGTGATGATATTATTGTTATGTAGATGTATGGAATGATACATTTACTGAAGCTTCAAGACGTATTTGATAGCCTGGACCTTGTCATATTACTAACTTCATGCATATGCCATGATATTGACCACCCTGGGCTTAACAACAGGTAAGGAATGTATAGCTACTAATGAAATTTGCTATGTAGCATTCATCTATGGAAAAGTTATTGTAATTAATCAAATTTAGATTTTTTATGATTTTTAAAAGTTGCTCCAAAATTGGACAAAACTCCCTGTACTATAGTACAGGGATTTTTGTCTAATTTTGCTAAAAATGAAAGGAAGGGAATTTCTCAGTTTTATTACATTTTCTGATACATAGGCTATACATGTTTTTATGTTGTGTAGAAAGTTTGAGCTAGTTCTGATCAAATTTGGATTTTTTACAAATGCCAAAGTCCTGTACTGTAGTACAGGGACTGTTGATTTAACTCATGGTCTTTGGCCATAAGAACATGTAACATCAAGTATACATATCTGGTCCAGCTGCAATGTTCAATTAATAATTATTCTTTAATTTCCAGTTATCAGATCAATGCTCATACTGAACTGGCCATCAGATATAATGACATCTCTCCATTGGAGAACCATCACGCAGCTGTAACCTTCCAGCTCCTGGAGAGGGTAAGTGATGATAATGAACACGTCTTCACGCGTGACCATGTGTCCTTTATTTCATCACAGTCAGAGTATAACATATTCTCAAATGTCAGCAAAGAAGACTTTAAAAGACTCCGATCAGTAAGTGAGGGCTGATGGCTGCTTTCTTTTGAAAAGGACGTCTTGTCTTCCTTATATAGGGAATCATTGAGCTGATACTGGCTACTGATATGTCCAAGCATTCTGAAATAATGACATCCTTTAAAGGGATACAACCAACACTTGACTATAATAACAATAATCATAAGAAAATTGTGAGAATCATAGCCCTTGTGTAAACAATTCACTCTCTCTCCTCAGATAAAACAAATGCTAATCAAGTCTTGTGATATATCAAATGAAGTTCGACCGACTAAAGTAGCAGAGCCTTGGGTCGACTGTCTACTGGAGGAGTATTTCCGTCAAAGTGACATTGAAAAATCAACCGGACTGCCTGTAACTCCTTTTATGGACAGAGACAAAGTAACGAAACCCTCAGCTCAGATTGGGTTTATAAAATTCGTACTGATTCCAATGTTTGAAACTATGGTGATGGTAAGAAGAGAGTGTACATGGATTGTATTATATGTTTGTTTGTAGGTGTTTCCTCAGTTGGAGGATCCTGTATTGAAGCCATTGAAGGAGTCTCTTGAACATTATGAGCACCTCAAACTGTTGGAAGATGCCAAATTGGAGCAATGAAACTTCATTCATCTCGAATCAAAGCGTCCAGCTATTTTATTTATTTTGTGTTAATGTATTTTCACACATTTTTGTGCTTGTCATAACAGCTGAGATAATAATGATATTCATACTCCTGCCGTAAAGGAGGTGCCGTTTCTAATTAAGCGAATGAAAGTAATTCCAACCCATTTCCCGTTCATGTCCGTATACTGGCTGACTGTTTGAAGGTGACATAGAGTGACATTGGAGAGAAGAGATCTTCCCTTACTAGAAAAGAAGAGAGAGAGAGCTAAGGTCGAGAGAGAGAGGAGGAAAGCGTTAGGAGACGCCCTAGCTTCTATTTGTTTCCGGCACAAGTCAGTGTATATCATAATTAGATAGTATTCGTTGTGTATTTTCAAAAAATACTACTCACCCTAACCCTCTACTAATGGTCCTCCCCCTATAGTTCACTGTTATGTACTAAAGGAGACAATGAGTTCAACTTTCAATAAAAAGGAACCTCCCAGAATAAGAACCACCTCTTTTGCCGACCCGATGGGTAGAGAGACACGCCCTCCTCAAGTTGGTGGAATGAGAGTAACTCGTAAGTTCCTGAAACATTCTTTGTCTTGTAAAACCCTCTTCATCTCTTAAGACTCTTTGATGGTTTTTGTAATTGGTTCGTTATAATGTGTACATGTGTATTTTAAAGCTTTGTCTGTTAAAATTTGAGGGAGTTAACTTGCCACGCCCAGCCACTAGTTGTAAAAGGATCTTTAAAATGTCCCAAATAGTTTCAGTTGTTTTGGTCATCATGAGGTATATACACCTTCTCCTTTCTGTTACAACATTTCCATGTACATCTATGTGAAGATGTACTATACAAAACACCTTCATAATGAGGACACCTTCATAATGAGGACACCTTTATAATGAGGACATTTTGTAATGTCCCAATTGGTACAAGCCTATACAAAAGTACCTCTGAAATGAGGACACCTCTGTATTAAGGACAGGTAGTGTGGTGTCCTTAATAAAGAGGCTACACTACAAGTACCAGTGCAGTATATCTTCATGTATGTACATGTAAGAAACCTGTTCCTGATGGAATGTCACTGTGTGTTACATGTACATGTAGTTCCATTGTCCTCTATGATATGTTCCATGTCACGTAGCATATGGCCCCTCTAGTAGTAGTAGTAGGAGTGAGGCAGCCCACGTGTACTTAGTACATGTAATGATGAAGTCATTGATGGGCTGGGGTTTGGCTGGTAGTTTGCTTCCTGTACTTTATGTGGACACAATCTCCTTTTATACTGTACCTTTCTTTGGCATGTACACTCAAGCTTATTCTTACTGCTGTATAGCCTCTCTTAATGGACACTCTTTATAGCGTACACCTCCATTTAACGGACAGCACCTAGTGTACCAATTACATTCCTTACTGTATAAAATAACCTCCACATAAAGGACACCTCTGTATAACAGAGACACTACCAAAGTGTCCTCTCATTACTAGAGACTCTCCTCCATATTAACTCATTGTATCATTCCTTTGCCTCCTCTTGGCTTCTCTCTAAGGAATTTTTGTTTATGTTTGTTAAATGTACCAGCATCAAAGCAATCCAGTGACTTTCTTTCAATTAATAATCCATTGTGGTTACTGTACATTCACATTGTATTATTGTTTTGTGTTGCTGCAGGAGACAAGGACACTGGTCACAGGATCATGACAGTAATGGGTACGCTGGGCCCGTTACCGGACCGACAACAGGAGATTACTTATACTGATCTTAAGGTCATTGGTAGTGGTTCTTTTGGTGTCGTCTATCAAGCAAAAATACTTGAAACAAACGAGCCAATCGCAATAAAGAAAGTGCTTCAAGACAAGAGATTTAAGGTAACAGCTCCAGTAACTTAATGTCCTTTTATTCGGTGAATGACTGAGAGTTGAGTGCGTGAGTGTGTGTTTGTGTTTCAATTTGTATTTGTTCACTTTGATGACATTACTATCTCTTTTTAACACTACTGTATCCTCTCCCCTCC